TGCATTGTGGAACAATAAAGTAAAGCAAAAGAAAGTAATTGCATTTTTATTTAGCAACAATTGAGCCAAATGAAAAGAAAAGAGGAAAAGAGCCCACCCCCCACCCCACCCCCGGCCCACAAGGGGAGCTAGGAAGGCACCCAGGGAGTGAGCACATGGAAGAACCCTGGGGGCTTATGGCGTGCCCATCCTTGGAGAAGACAGGAGCAGGGGAAGAATTATACTAGCCATGGCTTTACTTAGGATTTCATCATGCATATGGAGGACTGAGTAAAATAAGACAGAAAGTACTTTGAAAATTTTTAAATCCTTATTCTGATGTGAGGTAGTATGCTATAGTTTTTGTCATCTCTGGCAGGGTCTATATTAGATGATACATAATGAATAGCTAAACTCTGACTTGTTAAATTGCATTTTCATGTGATTTTGTAGAACATAATTTCCAAAGCCTCTTAAAGTCAGTGGCTTTGCTAGGAAATGTTTTAGGTCTTTTCTAGCTTTAGATTTTTTTTTTTTCTGAATATCGTTAAAATAGCATAATTTAGAAAACTCCTTTGGAAGCAGAAATCCATGTGTAATAAAGACTTTGATTTGAAGACAACACTATGGAGTACAACAACTACAGTGAAATTCATACCATTTTGCTTAGTGAAATTCTGTACCTATGTAATTTTTCTGTTTTAATACTGTTTTGTACTCTCTAAAAAATAAAAAGGGGCTGTGGGGATAGCTTGGCAGTCTAAGTACCTGCCTAACAAGCACAAAGACCCAGATTCAATCCCTGGTACCACATACTATGCTGGCCCTGGAATACTGGGCGTGCTGTGCCAGCCACCAAAGCCAGGCGTGGTGGCACACACCTGTAATCCCAGCACTGGAGAGGCTGAGACAGGAAGATCACTACAAGTCTGAGCTGCATGGTGAGACCCTGTACTAATTAACTAATTAATTAAAAATTTTAAAAAATAAAAATGTAAGGAATTTGGAAGATTCTATAATATAATTATATGGTTAAGTTTGAAGGTTTTAATGTAACATTATTTGACCAAAGATGTATCTGTAATATGGACAACACTTTTAAAATATTTAATGGCTGTAAATTTGTATATGAAGTGTGCTTGGTGGTTCGTTCTTCTCAAGCCTGCTTTGTAGTTCGCGGTGGTTTATGGCTGCTCTCCTTCGTGTTCTCATTTCAGAAGCTTGTCAGAACTGGAGAGAACAACTGGTCTCTGCCTGAGCTAGTGCACGCGGTGGTCCTGCTGACACACTACCACGCTTTGGCAAGCTTTGTTTTCGGCAGTGGCATTAATCCCGAGAGAGAGCGCGAAATGTCTAACGGGTTCAGGGTGGTATCAGTCAACAACTTCTGCGTGTGTGATCTTGCCAACGACAACAGCATAGAAAATGCGTCCCTGGCAGGCGGCAACTTTGGGGTCAGTGTCTACAACTGTTCTCTTAGATCTGCTTAAACTTCTTAGTGTATCAAGAGAGAAGTTAGTTTTTAACTAGGTCAGATAGTATGCATTTGAAATATTTTGCTATTACTATAAAAATATTGTATAGTAATAATTTTTATTATTATAAAAACTTCACCTGCACCAATAGTACTGATTTGTCTAAAAGAGGCTTTTAAGCAAATAGACATTATTAGATATTGAGAGCTGGGGATAGCTCAGTAGAATAAGTGCCTGCTTGGCAAGCGCAGCGTCCTGAGTTCAATCCCTGGTACCCCCCAAAAAAGAAAAAGAAAATGAACATTGATGCCTTTTGCATTGAACCTTTTATATAGCAAATCTCAAGACAATATATCTGTGTCTCCAAGAGCTGGAATAACTAATGGAAAGTGTATTTTAAGAGTTAGTGGATAAGTGCTGCCTGGCAAGCTCAGGGTCCTGAGAGTTAGCGGAAAGCTCACATAACATTTTTTAAAAACTGCCTTACTGAAGTGATGCGCAGATGGTCCAGTTCCCTGCTTGCAGTCTGCAGTCCGGAGGTACTCGGTGTGGCCACAGAGCTGTGTGCCCCTCACCACAGCAAGCTCGAGAGCATCGTGTCGTGTAACAAGGAGACCGTCCACCTTGAGGAGTCGTATCCCACTTCTGCCTCCACCTTGCCTTCTCCCCGACTCTTGGCCCCTAAAAGTCACTTACTTACTTTTTGCTTCCTATATTTTCCTAATCTAGTCACATTTTTTTTTAAATTGTATCTGATACATCATTTGGCCAGCATCTCACATGGGAACCTCAGTTACTACCTTGTCATTGCACATCGTAACGTAATGTTGAAAGAGAAAGATACTTATTGAATCCATTTTTTTTATATTAATACCACCCAACATTATCTTGTGTGATTCCAGATTGTGGGTTCCCTAAGTGAGCTAGAAGCCTTAATGGAAAGGATGAAGAGGCTGCAAGAAGAAAGAGAAGAGGAAGACACATCTCAGGAAGAAATGGCCACTCGTTTCGAGAAGGAGAAAAAAGAAAGTCTGTTTGTGGTCTCTGGAGACACTTTTCATTCACTTCCTCATTCAGGTATCTGTAGTGCGCTCTTGTCTGGTCGCTCTTAGACTATAGCAGAGTGATCTTTGGTATTCTTTATAACTAAAACGCCATAAACTGAAGGCAGTCATCAATCCATGCAGTATTTCTTTTTAAAATAGAAATGACTGTCTTAAAACTAAACTAGTTAACCTCTTAAATTCTGAAAATTGTTTAGACTATATAAACATGGTATTGATCAATAGCACTCCAAAGTTACACTTCGAGGACAGGAACCTCTTCTTACACTTGATGTTGATTATCTTCTTTAATTAAAGATTTTACCCACACAATTAGGTTGTCATTTTAATTTTTTTAACCCTTGAAGGCTGCTGTTACTACAAATCACAATAATACTCAACAAGAAAACTCAAACAAGCTTGGGGTTCTGGTTACCAGTTGAGTACTCATTCCACAAACGTGAATGGAGAAGAGCATGTGGTCCCGGCAACGTGGCCGCAGTTACCGCCTTCGGGCTGAGTAGAGTGTGGTTCCTGCCTGCGTGGCATTCTCCTTCTGGTAGGAAGGAGGGCAGTGGGAGCAGCATCTGTGCGAAGCACGGCGGGGTGAGGAAGCGGGACCCAAGGGAGGACCGGTTGTTCTGTGTCCTGAAGACATAAATCACGAGGCAAGCAGTGTGGAGAGGGAGCTGTTTAGGGAGGGAAGAGTAGGAGCCCTGCTACAGCGCGCACCAAGTGGGACAGCTGTCGCTTGTCACGTGAGGGGCATTTTGAGTTGGGATGTCTGTGGAACGTCCAGTCTAGAGATAACTAGCACCGCGTCTCTCGGACTTGGGGTGGCCGTGAGGCAATGAGGAGTCTTGCCGAGGCGCAGCTGGGTCGGACCGGGCAGCCCGAGAGCCCCGGAGGCTCGGGCTTCTGGTCTGCACGCTGCGCTTGGGCTGGCCAGGCCCTGCATGGGAGGCTGAGCGGGTTGTGCACCTCGTGCAGAAGGTTGGAGGCCAGCAGCCTGCGGCTGGGCGCTGAAGCGCAAGAGCTTATCAAGTCCAGAGAAATGAGAAGAAGGTGAACAGTGGAGCTTCTGGTAAAGCAAGATTCAAAAGTAGAATCATGTTTATTAGGGTTGGTCACACACGTTTGCTTTCACGTGTTGATTTTTAAGAGCTTCAGGATCACTTGAGCTTGATATAAATGTTTTT